CAACAAAACGTCCACCACAGTTTAAAGAAATAATGTTACCCAATGTCCACACGGCGGGGGTGGGGTCCGAAAGCAATTCGACTTTTTCTCGACTTTACTGAGCGTGTGGACTGGTGGTTTGACAAAGCGCCTGACACGGCAGTGCGGGTAAGTGCAGGACAAATCGCAGAGGAGCTACAAATCTGGAACAGAATGTGGAGATGGATAAGCCATACATTGAGGAAACCAGCGACAAATACTACCAGACAAGGCTTGTCTTGGAATCCACAAGAAGCAAGAAAAAAAAAGGAGACACAGCAACACCCGACGTGGAGACTTAGCAAAAGACTCTAAAATTATTTCAAAGAGCTGCAAAGAAATGGGTAAAATACCATAGGATAGAAAAGTATGGGAGAGTGTTGTGAACTCCACTTGAATTTGAAAAAGACGAAGAAGAAGTGGACATATCATTATAGTTGTCCACACGCATGCAAAAACAATACATTTAAATAACATATCTAGTGATTTTAACTCCGATAATTTAATCACGGTATCCTTAAACAATTCATACATCTTTCCAAACACACAAAAAATGTCGAGTGCTGTGCCTCATAATATATATGTACTAGCTGCATCCCGTGCTCCGCCACGGTAAATCTTTTTTAAATGTACCAACTTGGGAACAGAACATAACGAAACACAACACAAACGAACGCAAAAAAAAAACAAAAAAAAAACACAAACGAAAAAACAAACACAACACTCATAACATAAACACAATTTAAATGCAATCATAAAGGCATATTGCTCACAGTCTAGCCCGTAGCGCCAAGTCGCGCCCTTTCCGGTGATTTGCACCCCCCTCAAACTTTCGATGTGCATCCCTTTCCCCCCTCCCCCCCCCCCCCCCCCGCCCTAAAACTTTCGATTTCCAACCCCCCCCCCCCCTCGCAAATTTTTTCCAACCCACTTTGGCGCCCCCTAAGGTTGGCACCCGGGGACATATGCCCCCCCCCCCCTCGCTTCGCCTCTCCTATAAAACCCCCAGCTTGTCCGCAAACCGACAGAATAATAATTAGTAAACAGTATAAATAATAGGCAGTATTTAAAATATCCGTGTTTTACCTACAATATTTCACTTTATCCATTCACGCATTTTTTTTCCAGTACTTTAAATTTTAAAAATTTACAATAGAGTTTCATAACTAAAACCTTTGCGCACCTAATGAACGTGATGACGCGCCTATAATAGTGCTGAATAGTTGATTAAAAATTATAAGTAATAAATAGTATGGCCTACATTCAGTGAATAAAATAAATAAAAGATTGCCTTTTATCAATCCATGCTAATTATAATTTTCTAACAATAATTTCCTCTTACACATCCGAATAATTTGCATTCACATTTTGCTAATTATATTATTGCAACACTAATTCCTTCTATGACGAACGTATATTTGCATTCACATTTTTTATTAGCGTGAGTTTAATCTATTTTTAAATTACCTCCTTTGTCAAAATTAGAAAAGAGTTAAATTAATTTGATTTTTCTACCCTGCTGTTATTATGTTATTAAAATGTATCCACTTTTTCTGGGAGCCTAAACGAAAATGATATTTGACATTAATCTTTTTAATACGTTTTAGCAGTTTGCGTGTATTTAATATTTTCTTGACGTTATGCGAAAGAGTAAAAACCGTGGCAATTATAAAATAGCTCTATGCCGCTATATAAACAAACCCTACTCTAATACTTATAATAAGACACTGCGGTGCACTGAAAAGCACAGCATGGTGCGAATGTTTACTTTTATGGTTCCAAAATCTATAGCGATGACGGAAGGAAGGAAGGAAGGAAGGAAGGACTGACACACTACCAGCAGCGTTATATTATAGATACTTTTATAACATTTTACTCAAATTACCACTCTCTAGATTCTACTGTTGACATTAATTCCGAAAAGAATAAATCAGTATTTAATGATTATATTGTCTATAATTATAACTGAATCAGTGTTTCGAGAAACCTGTCATATTTTAAGGGACATCTAAATACGGAGGGATGCGGGAAGGTTTCGAATAAACTGAACGAGTGTGACACGTGGAGGGGTGGGGGGAGGAGGGGGGGGGGGCATATTATGCAACTTCAGATTTTAGAGTTTTACGGACGTCAAAAATGGACGACCCCCCCTCCCCCCATGGGTCCCCACCTCCCAACCCTCATAGTCCACTTCTTCGTATTTTTCAAATTCAAGTGGAGTTAGTTTGATAATGACGAGAGCGTGAGGCTAGTATTACAGGTAGTTTTCTGTCTTTATTTCTGTCGTGTAGGCAACAACTCTCATGGAAGTAATTAAGGCTGTGTCCATCTTTACCCCCCCCCCCCCTTCCACTATTCCCAGAATTCCAAAGTTTGGTGTGGCGGGCGTTAGATATCCACGGTAAATTTATTTTGTTCCGCAGTTTTTTTAAAAAAATCTGTTTTTCTGTCTGTTTTCAATGTTTCTTATGGCCAATAGGTGGACGGGATGTCTGTCTTGCTTTGTGGTGTTTTAAATCATTATGGGGGCTGTGGGATGTCTAATAGGTGGATTTTGTAAATGTTAAGTAATTGTTTGTGAACCTGTTGTCCACTGAAACGGTACTCAAAATCAAATATACGGTTTTTGTGAATCCGGAAGTAGAATAAGTACCATTTCCGGTTACACGAAAAACGTTCAAAAGTTATGTAGAAATGAAGATAATCTAATACTGATATGAGCAATTTCGTTAATGTAATTGTAACAATACTCAAGTTATTGAGTTCAAAGACGTTTTTTTTTGCCAATTTTCAGTTTGTTAAGTTAAAATGCCTAAATTCCGAGTTATTGTTTTTATGTGGTGATTAACAAAACAATAACATTCTATTTCTAAACAATAACTTTATTCACATTCTTTCGTTTCAAACAAGAGACAAGATAATATCAATTTTTGACAATTATTTAATCGAGTGACGTGTTAATGATGGCAACATTCCCCTCTTCTATGCAAGCAACATGGAACATCGACTAAATAAAACAGCCCACCATTTACGGTGAATCTAATGATGGGTGATTAAAACATACACCATAATTAATTATACAGATGGATGATTAAACATGATGCTCATCTTTACAGAACTTGAAAGATGTTTTTCTCTAAAAAAAAATGAAGCTAACATCTGCAGATGTTAATATTTTAACAAACATATTGTTTTAGTATGTACCGATGTTAAGATATAAGTTGTGTACCGATGTACATTAGCATTACAAATGAATTGATGTAAGCTTAAAGCATACAGACTTACAGTAAAGTACTGGTATTTGTTTTACACATCAGTACAGTATTGATGTAAGGTTAACAAATTTTACAGTATTGATGTAAGATGAACGTAGAGACCATAGCTACAGTATTGATGTAAGGTTAACACAGTTACAGTATTGATGTAAGATGAACGTAAAGAGCATAGGAATAACACACAGATCATCATAACAGATGACGTGGCGATGAACAAAAACACAACATGAACCGACAACATTCATTTGCTCTTATGTACAGTATATCTACATCCCTGGTATATGTTTTAGTTTAGTACACAAATGTACACACATTTTAAAAATTTCTTTACCCAATGGAACATCTGAAAGGCGGTTTAACCCCCCCCCCCCCCTACTCCTCCTCCTCCCACCAGGAATCATACTTAAAGTGGCAGGTGGTATACTGCAAGTATGGACGTTATCCCACAAGTCCTACTCAACACTGTCATGTCATCACATTTGTTTTGGATTTCTTCTACCCACAGGACACACGATAGGACATAAGAAAAATATAAATCCATCTATTAGCATGTGACTAGGTGTTGGTTGTGAAGACATTACTCTTCATCCTACCACAGCTTAGCATTTCATACTGTTACATAATGATTGGTACAAGACAGCCGCACAAACACTAAACACAACCATTTTGTGTTCAAGTGCTAGACAGATTCTTGTTTGTTTTTTTTTAATGAACAAATGTATCTCTAGTCATAATTTGTTTGTACTGAATCCAAAATAAAGACTCATTTTTGTAACAATTCCCTACATGGCTGAAATTAATTTATTTTTTAAGTTCACATTTGTACAAGATGGCGATTAAAAAACATGAAATGTGGACAAGGAAAACAAAAATATGAGTGTTTTACCTGGCCATCAAGACACGTGATCATATCTTCAACTGACCACTACACTACTCAAAACTACGTTAAACAACTTGAGCTGCAATGGACCATATTTACATGTGAAATTGGAGTTCTGTCTTACAAAATAAGCAAGTCACATCACATATATTGGTGAGTTCAATGATTTCTTCACATTAAAACTTGATGAAGGTGACAAGCTGTCAATACTGATTGACTTCATTTAACAGAACATTGAAACAAAAAAATATTGTACTGAGATGGGAATTTTTGAAAGAAAAAAAATTTACAAAACAAGCCTCAACTAAGAAAAGAAAAACCTTGTTAAACCTTATTCAAATAAAATAAAAATTAAAAAAAAACTATTGTTTTTAACCTTGCCCTATTTCAAGCAATACAGGCCCACTTAAATAAACTATAAAGCCCAATTTTAAGCTGTATATTTAAAATTAACTATCAAAATTCACCCAACTCTAAGCTATATATTCATAAAAAAATATCTGAATTCACCCAACTTTAAGCTATTTATTTATAATAAACTATCTGAAGTCATAGAGAAAAAGTTTTTAATCAAGGAAAAAGAAAATATTCCAGGGTTTTGATATCTGCTCCACTTGCCAACACCAGTGATGTGGGGGTTGAAAGAAGAAAGATCCATGTGCCTTATTGCAATCCTTTACTTCAACATAATTATGGATCAACATAGTCAATTGTGAACAAAAATTGAGATCTAAATAATGGTGTTGATTGCTATGTCCATAGCTAGGATAGTCGAGTTGATTTTTGAAGTTTAATGTTACTTCATTGCAGGGGGGGGGGGGGGGGGGGGGTTTAAGTCTGATAAGACAATATTGATTGTAATGAAAAATATGCATATACCTATTCAGTAAATCAAGTCTTTAACAAGTAATATCTGTATTAAAAAAAGGCTCATACAAAAATAAATTAATTTATAATCTCGATAGTAGTCTCCCCTGAGCCCAGTTATGTCCCTTTGAAATCTATGAATGGAATGTGATATGCCTTTTCAATAGTTTTCCCTCTATAAATCCCTGACATAAATGGAATCACAAACAAGACAGACGATACACACAAGTCTTGAGCCGTTTTTTTTTTTTTTTGTCTTCTGATTGTCAAAAACACAAAATATTTTAGAGAAATGATTAAGTGTTGGTGGTCTTACAACATTGTAGCCAACTACCCAACAAATGTTTGCTATCAAGGTCTTAACACCAAACAATTTGGTTACAAAAAAAATCTTTAACAATATTTAATTTTTTTTAAATTATCAAGACCTTGATTAAAAACATTTATGATTGTCATAACTAAGTTTACTAAGTGAGGCTAATAGTAATAAAAATAAATCTTGTAACAAACAAGTAAAGGAAATATTCTATCATTTTAAATTCCTAACATAGCTATGCAAGTAGAGAAGCTCTACTGTCTGTGAAGATAAGCTAACACTTAAGTACTTTGCAACTTCAAACGGTCCTAGAATACAGAAAACATGAGAAATTACTATACAAATTCATAGATAATCTAAAAGATCCTAAACCAAAACATAATACACAACATAAATAGTTCAAGCAACTCAGCTCTGTTAACTTTAAAAGCCTCAGAGATGATGTAAAATATGGCAATGATACATATATTACAAATATATACATTAGTAAAGGTCTGCGTTCTGTAACAGAACTAAAGCAATCATGCTAAGCCTTCATGAGCCAATCTAAAAAAAAATAAGACAAATAGCTGTAGTCGCAAAATCAAATGCACAAAACAATAACATTACAAATCCAAGTCATTGGTTAGTTTTGATGTGTCAGAAAGCTGTTAAGAATTGGTATTGCGGTCAATTTTTTTTAAACAGAAACAAGTCCAAACTTAAGAAAACTTACAGAAATTTTTATTCAGTAAAATTTTATTATTAGCCAAAGTTTGAAAGTTTTAAAAATGAAGGTATTTGTTTAAAATATCTTACACTGTACACTACAAACTCCAAACTTCACCAAGTAAAATTTTACCTAGTAAAAATTATATTTTTTTAAAAACAAACATTGTTTATTAGTAGGTAGCCTACTTGATCTCAACAATATACACTTCTTAAATCACGGCATTTTAAATTTTACTTTAAAGTTGATAAAGAGTAAGGAATGTTGTTATCGCTTTTTATTACCATACTTGTTGAAACACAATCTCAATGCTTTTTTTTAATGCAAAAAAGCTAGAAAATAATTTTTTAAATTCAAATAAATATCCATTAAACCTGTGCAATTAAATAAGAAATTAACATGAACTCATAAAAGTCATGAAAGGCTGATCTGTAAGGACAACATATTTACTTTTGATGGACATCAAATGCAGTTAGAAATCTGATGTTTATTTTGAAGTCATAAAAATGTTTTCCTCTGTTTTTATGTCATGCAAGTATAAAGTTCTGTACTGTTCACCAGTCACTACCTGTCAGCGCAAGATTGATATACACATTGGATGTAAAAACTGGTAGGTAATGAGATCATTTAACACAAGGATGTCATTGCTGCAGTCTGTACAATGCATGGGGGGGAGGGGGTCAATACTTTAAGAATAGAAGTCCAGTGTACTGTCTGGTTCTGCCACTTGGCTTTTTCTGTCATCATCATTTTTATCATCAACAGCTACATCAGCCTCTGCCTCATTCTCATCAAAGTTGTCCTGGGATTCAGGAAATGTTGAACCAAAGTGAACAGTCAAAGATTCGTCCTCGCAAGGTGAGCACCTCCTCTCACTATCATAGTCGTCGTCTTCATCAACCCTGTCCTTCTGACCCGATGTTGTAGGTGGCTGGAAGAGGACAAGAGCCATGGTGTTAGCACCAGGGTTGGTCTGAGGGTTGCTCTGAGAGCTGAATGAGGCAACAGCTGGGTTGTCTGTGGGCTCATCAAAACAGGGGATGTTCTGTGGAGGTGTCAGGTCTACATCTGTACCTAAACAAGAGGGGGAAAAAACATAACGGATAAGTTAGCTTAAAAAACACTTCAGACACATCATACAAATGTAACACTAGCACCATGAGAAAGGTTTAACGGGATAACCAATAAGACTAATAAATTATACTGGATTTCAATCCATATGACATTTTAAAAGAATTAGATCAACACTTTATTTTCTAATACATGCATTAACAATTTGAGCAAGACTCTTTAGCCAGGTTGACCACAGAAGACTATTAATTTGTAACAACTAACTAATCCTTATTTTCCCAGTGTATTGTATCATAGCTTATGAATGTTGATGGGAAGGGGGGTGGGGGAGTGGGGTGGGGGGGGGGGTTGGCTATGGTGAAAGTGATGTATTTGTTAAACCAGGTGTCTCCAAACTTTTCAGTCCGAGGGCGGCATTAACTATCGGGGGCCAGTTTCTTCCACGTATGTCTTTGATTTTTCTGGGCAAAGTTCCTCAGCAATCACCGACAAACGATTTTTCCTTGGACAAAAAGATCTCAGCGGGCCGGATGAGAGGACTTTGCGGGCCGCATCCGGCCCGCGGACAGTAGTTTGGAGACCCCTGTGTTAAACTACCAGACACCATCCCATTCCAAATGGATCTACTGATGGCAAAACATTAATACTACTTTTAAAAAGGAAAATGTTAACTTTAAAGACAACTGACTATAATTTAAGAGATGAAAATTTAACCCCCCCCCCCCCCCCCCCTCTTGGGGTAATTGATTGATTGAAATTTAACTATGTAGTGTTTTGGTATAAAAATATAAACAGATTTCCACACCAACCTTGCCTCTGGTAGAACAGAACATATCCACTGCTGTATTCACTGTCAGATGGCATCTGTTGAGTGACTGTTTCATCATTGTAATAGTACCACTCAGTGGTCAGCGGGTGCTTTGAGTAGCAGGTGTAGTGACCAGCACTAGCCCCACCAAAATGGCACACGATACTGTAAAGATCATAAACAAGACCAGAAGAACTGGGACCAGAAAGAAAACCTCTGACGTCCATTCCTTCATGGGGGAAAATCACCTTTGTATCTACTTTTGTACTGGAAAGGTCTTGATAAACAAACCTGTAAAATAAATTAAGGTTTCAATAAAAATTATTTGGAATTATGTTTATTTAATATAATTAAATCTCATTAACTTCAGCTTAAAAAAAACTAACATAAACTGAACTGAATCTAGTTTCGAATTTGAATTAAATTTATAAGAATTATTAGACATAGATGAAAACTGGTATAATAAAACCTAAGAGAGAAAATAAAATGCTACTGATAAAGTTGATGAACCTGATAAATATCTTTGAATTTATTCAGCGTATGAAGATGAAATTATAATTGTAAATAATTTTAAATGAGGTGAAAAACTGGATGTAAAAGATCACATTACTCTACTCTAAGAATGGGGGAGGGGGGGCATGTGTTATGTAGCCAGCAAACAATTACAGGCTGGAGCTGCCAATGGATGTATCTTTAAAATCAGAATAAACTAAACATACATTACTAGATGTACACCTTTATATGTATAATCAGATTGTGAAAGCTAACTGCAAATTACTAGATGTACCTGTTTAGATGTATAATCAGGTAGTAAGCTAACTGCACATCACTAGCTGTCACCTACCTCTTTAGATGTATAATCAGATTGTGAAAGCTAACTGCAAATTACTAATTTTACCTGTTTAGATGTATAATCAGGTAGTAAGCTAACTGCACATCACTAGCTGTCACCTACCTCTTTAGATGTATAATCAGATTGTGAAAGCTAACTGCAAATTACTAATTGTACCTGTTTAGATGTATAATCAGGTAGTAAGCTAACTGCACATCACTAGCTGTCACCTACCTCTTTAGATGTATAATCAGATTGTCAGGATACCTCCACACAGTCATTGTCTTCTTGGCACACTGGTTCCTCTCACACTGAGGGCAGTACCATGGGTTATGTTCATCTAATATTTCACTGAGGGGAGATAAATTGTTCAGTCATTAGTAGCTTGCAGTTGTCTCAACATGTATAAAAAAACTGTCTATAATAAAGATACTTGTTAATTAAACATCCCCAAATTTATATTGAAAATTAAAAACTTAAGTGAAAAGTGTTGACCTTAGAGAGAAAAATATCAGGAAATGGAATACAGGACACTTATCATATGAACATATTTTTAATCAATTAGAAAAGTTTAATTTCCTAACGTCTCCTGGCCCAGTGAATTGCCAAACTTGATAAAAAATGTCCTCAAGATTTTTCCTCTCTCAGTACAATTACACTCTATTATGTATTCTTGACTAAACAGTAAGAGCAATGAGGACATACAAACCAAATACAAGGTCACTTAGAATGAAACTTATGAACTTTAGTCTTGAACACATAGTAGTACAGTTCACATAGGGCATAGTCTATTTTGAAAATCTGAAGGCCAGTGAAAACACTACAGGGAGAAAAAGATAATTACCTTTGCGTGAAAGCACCAAAGCAATCCATGATAGTTGTAGGCTCAGAGGATCTGAGCCCAGCCATAGAGACATCCTCATGTACAAACTGGGAATCACACACCTGGTCAGGTGAGAGTGTATCACCTATGTGAACAGTCAGGCAATCTGAGGGCTGTAGGGTTACCTCCCCATCCCTGGCTACCTCACAACCTGAGCAGTGCTGGGAGTATGTACATCGGGAACAGGTCAGACCCTGAAAAAGAATTTAAGTCAATACAGTTCCAGATGAACTCATTTAAAAATAATGCTTCAAGATTTTTAACAAATAGATAAGGCAATTTAGGGACAGTGTGGTCGAATGATAGAGCATTTACCTGCTAAACTACAAGTCTCAAGTTCGAATAACGGGCTCAAATCCGAAGGACATCCCTGGGACCACCCAGTAAAGATAGCCCCACAGACAGTAAGGTTCAAGAGTACTTAATCTTTTAGATAAGAACCAAACTTTTTTACCACTTAAATAATAAGCTTCAAATTACAGTTGGTAAAAGAGTAAAGGCAACTCTTTCATGGCCATAAAAAAATAACAGAATCCCAAATAGATACAAAACTACTTCTACTGCGTTTTTAGCTGAATTTTAGCTGAATTTATGTTGGGGGATTTAAGAGAAAAAACTGTAAAATGTTATTCCTACCTGTCCATCAGTCAACTTGATAGAGTAAGTTGAATGCAGTGGGCTGATAATGCGATCCACAAGGCTGTACAGAGTGTCTCCAGTGATAATGCTGGGCATGTGAAGAATGCTGGGGTGGCCGAAAAGCTGGAGTGTCTCTGTGCCTGTGTTGTCTCGCACATTGTGGCGGTAGGCGATGCTCATTGGGAGGGTCCTGGGAAAGGTTAATGTTACATATTTCATTAACTGATAATCAAAAGAATTTTACATGGACTAATTTTTTCAATTTAATTTATGTTTTTATTATTATTTCACTATTTACTTCATTTAAAATCAACGAAATCATGTTTTGTCATACACAATACAAAAATTGGAAGAAATTAGTGTCGTGCTTTTACATGATAAAACATTCTGTAGTACGACAAATTACTGTGTGAATATACTATACCTGATTTTAGGTTTTGTAACAGAAGCATTGGCTAGAGGAACAAAGTCCTCATATGTGTTTGCAGGTTGAAGGCAAATCTGTTGAATATATAAATAGAATTTTATTTTAACACAAGAATCATATTAAGGTGGGCTGAGCTACAAAATGTAGAAGTCTTTTTAAAAAAATGTTTATCCTCAGCCTGTTAAAAAGTTATGTTACAGTACATGACTAACTTTGAATGAGTCTATAACACTGGATGATAGCAAGACAGTGCAAGCTGTCCAGCTTTCAAATCAAGTCATACTTACTAATTTCCCTTAATTTTAATCACACCATAATCTGAACTAGTTAAACTTAAGGAACACTCACAGGACAGCAAAATGCTGAGACATCTGCTGTGTGCTTGACAGACATCTGAAAATGAATGCAAACATCTGGCTCAATGATATATATACAGCTTTAAATGGTGGAAATGTGCAAACCATTTATATGTGTTGACAGATTGAATAGGCCTTCATGAAAAAAGTAGGATGATGGAATGGTATTAGAAAAATTAGAATGTACTCGATGATTTACAGTAAATAATGAAAATCTTTGTTATTTTAAAACAAATTATAGCCAAGATACAATAAGCAAATTAATTTGTAAATGCTTGATTACCTCTAAACAATTTTGACAGAACACCCCATCACACATGACATGAGTCAACAGCTCAGTCTCCATTAAGTCCTCTAAACAAATAGCACAGGATCTCCACTGATCTGTTAAGGTACCTAGCAATGAAATTTAACTTTAAGTCATGAACATGGCTGAAGTACATGTAATCACAAGATCAGGTAAGGGACATCTCTCAATACTATGCAGGTAAAATGTCAATCCACTCACACACATGGACAGGATCTGTCTTACTAGTAGATGGGTTATGTACAGGGAAACTTGTAGACCAACCTGACTCCTCACAGTTGGCACTTCGTTTCTCTTCATTGTATGCACCTGAAGTTTCTACCACATCATGAGAGGATCCTAGAAACAGAAACAACCCATTGGTATATAATGCAAAAAATATATTTCTATCAAACACAATGTATTAAGGCCATACAACTCTTCACATGCTTTCCATACTGCTAAAACAGTAACAAGCAAGTTTTCAAGACAAAAGAAATGCCAAATCAGAAGCTAACATAGGATAAGTTACCAAATAAGAAGTGGTACAATAAGTAGGAAAAACTTTTCCCAATATATATTCATTTTGAGCTCTTAAATTAAAATGTAACATTTGGTTTAAAAAAAAAAGATTAATAAACAGCTAAAACTTTTGTGACTTCCAAAAGGTTAATAAGAGTAATTTTCATTTGGCAGTGCTATTATATTTTGGGTAAAAGTTGGTTTGGGCAATGAAAGCAAATACTGTACAAGTACATCAATTCTGTCAGTAATCATACGTGTTTTGAAAACTTAAGCAGCCCACAGTGGCCTACCTTCCTGAAAGTACCCGTAGTCCGTATCATTAGGGTTCCGGTGTAGAAAGTAGGAGCCAGGGTTCTCCTCCAGCCTGGCTGCCACATTCATCAGGGTGTCCTCATGCTCAGGGATGTTGGAGAAACATTCTGGGCTGGGGCATGACCTGGATGTGTTCCTGCTCCCCCCGCTGTAGCTGGTGCTGGCACCACTGCTACTGCTAATGTGCTGCTGGTTATTGCTGCTGATGCTGATTGGTCTTGTGGCTGTGCTGACAGACTGTTTAGGGAAACGTGGACTGTCTTTATCTGTAGTGGGTGATGTGACTAGGTCTACTAAAGGGCTGGAGAGCTCTTCACTAGAGTGGTTCTCTGATATACTCTCAGAGCTTGTCGCTTCATTGTTAGAGTCATTGTCATTGGTGATTGTGTTGTTACATGTGTCACCCGTCACTTGGGAGTCAGGGTTTTTGTCAACCCAAAACTCTGAGATGTTCGAGTTGATATTGTCGTCACTGATATTTTGAGAAGACGAGGAAGCGACATTGGTGTTTGTGCTCACAGAACCGATGCCCTCGTCGTAGTCATCAAGACTCCATGAAAGACGTTTATGGGAATAGTCCCCACACACCCAAGGTCCACTTTCCGAGTTTCCTCCAGACGTCGACTGACATTCTCCTTCACCTTCGTCATTCAAATACCTGGGAGGGAAATCAGACTGATCTCGTGTGCTGGGCTCACAAACTTCTGAGTCAGAGAACATGTAATCCAGTGTGTCCCTACTGCTAGGAGAGTTCACGTTGATAGAATCAAAACTCTGATTAGAGATCTGACTGTCAGTCACGTAGGGGAGCTCACTCCTAGAGCTTGAAGGAAGTTCCATGTCAGGTCTCAGTGGTGAGCTCTCATCATTGTTCAGCATGTGATCACAAAACATGGAGTCTGCTGCCAAAACATTCTCAGGGTCAGCCGAAATTATTTCAAATGCATACACTTTTCTACTGAATGTGTTGACATACTTTAGCAGAATGTTGTCATCCTGTTAGTAACAAGATAGAAATAACTGATATGCAGCATTCTAGAAGTATTTAAATAAACTATGAAATAAAAAATGTTTCTTTAGTTGTTTTTTTTAAAAACAATCTAAACCTATAATAATTATTCTGGTAAATTAATATCAAAGAATTACAATAACAATGTTTACCAAAATCCTTGATATGTGCGAGTCCAAAACTTCAGCCATGATAATATTTCCATCTTCTTGACTAATAAGCTCACAAAGTTTCTTTTTTACACTTCCTATTTTGTCAGTCTTTAGCATATTAAGTAGATACCTAACTGGAGGTTTGTGTTGAGATATATAAACCACACCTGAGAAAGTATGAAAATAAATACCCATGTAGATTTAGTAGGCCTATAAATGTAACTAAATTTGTTCCAACATGTGGAACAAATATACAAGGAAATAAATTATCTACAAAACATATCTTACTAAAAAGGATACAGTAGCCAGTGTAGTCATGCATATATTTTTTGATGTATGTCATCTTAAGCATTAAGTTTAAGGCTACAATAAATAATTTTTAAAAACTTACAGATTTGCTGATCCATAGCATGGGGTATTGGTAAGGACAGATACATAAATGGTTCATAAGTAACAGAAACATGACTGCACTCAGAACACACCACCTGCAATCAAATATTTTAATCCCATTACTACTAGAGGGAGAAATGAGTTTTGGAGAGAGAATAAGAGTTGAGTCAATAGGATAGAAGAAAGTGCGGCTAATAACAAAAACAGCAATAGCCTGCTTATTTAAGGGTACCTAACACCAATTTTAATCAGCAAAATACTTCATACTATCACTGCAAAATTTTGTCTAAGCAGCTTCTAATGAATTTGTTTCTTGTACACAATTACAATACTTGTGTGTTAAATAATGTGTTCATGAAACAAAAAAACTTTTAAAATGGGAAACTTAAGGGATGTGTAATTTTTAAATCATATTGAAATTATAAACACAGCATGTGCTTTGCTGTTTAAACTTGTTACAAGTGTTATACAAAAAGTCAACTCTCTAATCCACAACATGATGCTCTGCTTAAATTCTGCCAAATCACTCTGACAGCTTCCTGTCAAAACAAGGTAAACATAGACATACTTACAGTACTTCGAAACTGTCCCTGAAATGTACTGACAACTATACTGTCATTTTTAGATTTATATTCCTCCCAGGCTCTGTTTGCCATCATCACTTCTGAATGTGCACAGTGACGCAGGCAGTTTGGCACAGATGAGCACTCCACAGCTGAAGTGTGGGAAGCTATTTCAATCTCATCATCATCAGAGCTCTCCACCTAGGAGGAACAAAAACAAGCAAAAGCATATTTAAATTTCATGTGCAAACTATTTGATATCTATGCACTAGAATTTAAACTTTAAAAACTAAAAAATATCCATACTGTATGTTTTAAGCAAAGAGATTTTTCTTTAAAAAAATGCAGTTTCAAAAACTAAACATTTTTGCAAGATAACATTGTACATTTTTTAATCACTTCAGTTAAATAAGTTCCCTTTGATTAAATTGGAAAACTATAATATACATGTTTATAAAGAATTGTATAAGGTACCTCATCAACTTCCATGCTATCAGCATCCCCTGCAGTGTCAGTGAGATCAGTTCTTATATTGCTATGTGCTGGTATAGTGTTGAACTTGGTGTAGGCCTGCATCTGTACATTCTTCTCCTCCTCATTCAGCTTATTGTCACTTGACAGCTTGAGTGGCAGCACATCCTCATTGTGCATCTCAGTATGGCTGGGGGAGAATTTGGACATAGCCTCCACTTCCATGACTTCCCTCTCCAAGCTATTGTTCAGGACATTAGGATCCGTATTTTTCACAGTTTTCACTACAACAGCTGTTGAATGAGCGTAGAGGTTTGTGTCTTTCACTCCTCCGAACCTTTGACAGATCAAAACCTTTTCAGTCTTGTCTTCCTCCCCAAAGGCCTCTTGAAGGATGTTGATTTCTTTGGAAGGAGGTCTATGTCGGTTGTCCACTTTAGCAAATTTTTCCGAGTCGGACGTGATCTCTTGCAGAAATTCAGAGACCAAGACATTTGTGTTGAGAGTCTTGGTCTCCTTGCTGTAGAAGTCATCCAGGTGCTGCAGCCCAGGAGAGAGCTGAGCCTGAAGCTCGGGGTGCTCCAAGGAAGGGGATCTGTCGTCAACACAGATGTTATCTTGACAGGAGGTAACCATATTGTCTATCACATTAAGGTCTTTGGATGGACATGATAAACCAACATTGCTACTGACTAGAACATCGTGAGATTCTCTAAGGATGGAACTTTCACATAAAACATTCTTTCGGCTTTTGCTTTTCTTGCAATCAGATGAAGACGTGACACAGTCTTTAAGATTATTGTTTGTGTTTCTGTTCAGTTCAATGGCATCGATTTTAAGTCTCTTGAAAGCACTGCTTTGCTCAGAGTCAGTGCTGTGAGCAGATACAGTAGAGTGGTTGCTATCCTCCGAGTGGAAGATGGCCACAGAGCTCCCACTGGACACCCTTTTTAAAGACGGCTTTAATATCAAGCCAGAATCTGAGGACGACACATCATCCAAGTTTGAGCGGCTTGTGTACCTTCTCAGGGGAGGGAAGGAGCTGGATATTATCTCATCTTCCTCCTCGTGATCCGGAGATTTCTGACTAGCAACATCACCATGACTAGATGGACTTGTGACAACGGAATCTACAACAGAGGCCTCACTCGTGGGACTGCCTTCACTGGGGTAGCTCGGGCTCAGGCCAGCTTCACTAACCAGTGATGACGGGGTAACCTCAAGGAATTGAGGTGTCTTTTGCAAGTCTGATTCATTTGTGGCAATCAGATCCTGCTTAATCACAGAGTTGTTGGAATTTTTGTTATTGAGATCAGGGCTCTGGAAGTCATTTTCATTGGCATCATCAACATCTTCAGTTGTAACTTGCTCTCTAGTTGCTAAAAACGGCAACGCAGCACAGGAGGTTGTAGTAATGGCTGTAGAGCAACAGGTTCCAGGGTACGATAAAAGCAGAGAGGAAGATGATGATGAAGCCACGGGTAAAGGGGAGGAAGAGTATGACCGCTTATACAGTGATGAAGCATTGTTCAGTTGTTCGTGTAAAGTGTCCAAAAGCAGAGCCAAAAATTCTTGACAATCATGCTAAAAATAAAATAGTTAACTAGTTGTCATTTCAGCTATCACAACAGTTAGGTGAATTATGGTAAATAAAATCAACATACTATCAACAAGTTGCCAGAATACCTATTCATGCATGTATGTTAGTTTACAGCTGATGGGGGCCTTAATCTTAACTCAATAAAGCTCTACTATCTTATTGCTTCAAGTAAGAACTAGTATACTAGTTTTATGCAAGTCATTAACCAAGTATGTCAAATATGTACAAACCTGTCTGTAGTCTTCAAACTGTGAATGGTAGAAGCCTAAAAATTCTTTAAATTTTCTGGGATGTACCACGGAGTACTGGCCACTCCACATCTTACACAAGAGGATATAGAATTGAGCAGAGAGTGTGTGACGATTTTCTTCAGTTATTGTATAGTTGTCACAGAAGTACTTGACTAGAGGAGCACAACTCATCAGGCTTTGTAAGCCAGAATTCATGAAGCACGTGTTCCCTAGATTGTACAATCCGCAAGATCCATGTACAGCTTTAGAATCTACACAAAATAAAAACATACTTATACTTGATAGAAATTCATCTAGGCTCTGACAAAATCTATGATACTTCAATAGGTATTTTAAACGAGATATTACTATAAAATAGAATAGCATAATTTGGAAAATTCTATTTATAGTTATTACAGTGGTGATTTAGACAAATTTACTTAAAAATAAGAATGCAATCGTAATTTACACTTGGATGATGGAAAAAAAAGTAAAATTACTATTCACATGTATTAATTTTAGAACATGTCAGCTACTCAATAAATAACAATTATAAAAATTAAAGATTACTTACCTCTGACATCTTTAGAATATCCAATAGCTTCTGTTGGGTAAAAACTTGGAGGCAGAGATGGCCCATAGCGCACTGATATAAATATAAAAAAAAGCTTTAGAACTATTAAAGCTAAGATAAATATTGAAATTATTAAATAGTTTAATTATAGAAAAAATGTAGTAAACCTATTCATGATAAATAGATACACAGAACCAACATATAACATTTTAATGCTAACATTATTAAACAAGAACATCAAAGTTTTTAGTTACCTGGTTCTATAGTCCCAACTCCTATGTCAGTAGTAACAGTGTTGTTCAAACCATCAGCTGTTTTATGAGAAAATTTAAAAATAAAAACAGTTGAATTATAGTTTATGAGTGAAATATTTAATAATGTATGAACTTTTAACAACGATAAAGATAAATTGCTTGCCTTCTCCACTGGAGGTAGAGACATCAGTCCCACCAACCAATGATATGGGAGCAGTTAAAGTTGTTGTTTGAGGCAACATCTGTTCAATGGTTTCTTGCGGAGTGGAGGTCACAGTGCTAGAGGAGACCTCCATTGCAAGTGTCAACTTCTGGATGCAAATGGTGATGAAGTTGGGTTGTGGTCAAGTCGAAACTCGACAAGAACCACCTACAAAATATTTAAAGATTCTATTGTGTAAAGTGGAATTTTGATCCTAAAAAAAATTTGATGCATAACAATAATTTGTAAACAAGTCTTTACAATTAAGAAATAATTTTCTGTAAAACCATCAACAATTAGTCTAAAATTAATTTTTTTTTTTAAATCTTCTATGTTTACCTTTGAAAATTCCACAAGATTTGGTGAAAAAAGTAGGAAAAAAAACCAAAAGGTTAAAAATTATGACTGGTTTATGGCCACATTTTGTTTTCACATCTGAAAAAATGTACATTAATAATTTAGTTAGGCATGTTGACATAATATAAGAGGATATAACAAATGTATCAGAAAGGAATGAACACTTTTGTATTTTAGTATCATACAAATAATTATTAAGCTACAATGTTTGTTTTTACTTTACAATGACTATTCTCAGTTTCAAAAGGGTAATGTAAAAATACTAATACTAGGCCTGAATCAGTTTAAGCCTTTAATTTGATGTTCACTTGAAATGGATTTACTTTGCAATGGAAGAGGTTAAATTAGGACCTAATTAACAATTTAGTGAGACAGTTAACTGGGTCTATATGTTGCTATATTATAAATGATTACTTTACTACTCAATACTGAATATCTTGCTGGCAAACTAAAATAGTAGCACCCATTTCTGGTAGTAATTAGGGCAATTTCCTGACATGATGCCATGTAGTGTATAATTTCATATTTAAAAAAAAATATTTTATGCATTATCTTTTTTATTCTTAAATGTAATAAAAGTGGAGAGTGAACGTCAAGTATGTGAGTCTATATATGGTCCACTGACTCAAACACACCCAGCTTCCATAGGGTTAGTTGAACCAATAATACCTGTAAGTCAGCAGTTGTTTGATTTAGGAGCTTTCTCTCCCTGTTGCCCAGGGATCAGAGCCTTGGATTTTCAGATTAGCAAGCATGTGCCTTTTTTTTAAACAGACTATGCCATCACTGAATTTATGCATGAAGCTATATTTGCAAAAAAGGCCCAACATAGCCCTCATCCTCCTAGCCTGTATAAATCATGTTGTTAGTTACAGTTTACGAGTAATGTATGGTTATTAGCAGTACAAGACATTAGATCTACGTACAAGAAAGCTCAAAATTCAAGGCTCAAGTTTAAAACAAATTTCAGGACATTGCCTAGAGAAAATGAATACTTTCATTATGTAATTTTGTTACATTTTTAAGGGTAACTGACTGGATATGGAAAATTAAAAACCAGGGACTGTGTAAATAGTAAAAAACCAAATGTGTCACTTATTTGTAACATGAATTCTGGCATTCAATCACCCACAACTCCAAATTACACTTGACCAACATGTTACACAATTATACAACTAAGTTTTATTTTTAAATCTGCATTACTCGCAATCTCCATGATATATTGATTATATAGAGTCCTTTCATATGACGTCACGTCCGTTCGTGATACCTACGCCCGCCGCCACAGTGGTGTACATCAGACGTAAACACAATCAGCTGTTCGCCAGCGCTGGACGTGTTCACCAGCGCTGGACGCGTTCACTGTATGTAAAGAACCGCACCCGCAGAAAAGGAAAAATACGTTAAAAAACTTGAACTCTTAGGAATTGAAGATCCTTATACTGTTATTGACAGTTTCGTATAAATAAATATGTGGACAAAATTTCTAAATAAAAATGCTGTTAGTAATACTGTTTGCGTTTAGAGTTAAAGTAGCCGAATCTGATCAAATGCAGTTCTCGATACTTTGTTTCAGGTAAGGACAGTAAAATAATAAACTTCATTTTAATTATAAAAGATAACTATTAATAAAACAAATATGCTCGACCTTCACAAATACTAATAGTAAAAGACAAAGTCAAAAGTAATAATAAGAATAATAAGATCTAATAGTAGGCCTAATACCTGACTCCGCTGGGTAGACATAGAATCTAGAATCTACTTCTTTACTTAAATTTAATTACTTTAGATCTACATTCGATTCAAAATACACCCATAATAAATCAAAAGTAGTCATAATAGGCCTAATAAAGCATTTAATTGTCTCTAAGATCTAAAATCTCGCTCTATTATCTAATCATTTTTTTTAGCAAACAAAATTTTCTGAAATTGAAATAGATTGTATGACTACACTTAGATCTAGAATCTGCTACTTAAATTAAATTGTAAAAACTTTATACAAGCATGTAGTTGATATTATTGTAGTAGAAGGCTTTAATAAATTACTAAGGCCTACCTACTTTGTTGTTTTTTTACAGCAATATGTATCTGATACTGGACTGAGTTTAATTAAATTCAAATTCATATCTAGTAATTGGTCTACTAAGTTTTTGTAGCCTAGTAGTACAATCTAGATCATACCAGCCAACAACAAATAACCACATTATTATTATTTGGTTAATGATTAGGCTAATTTTTTTTTAAAAATCCACTGTTTATAAAAGAAACAAATCAAGCTAGAAACATTATAAGTGAGATGGTTTAGAATAATAACAATGGACCCAGTCTACAATTGATACAATTGCAGGTCTACATAGGGCCTACAGTCTAGTAGTTTACAGTAGGCACCTAGTGTGTAGCTAGTATACTAGTGTGTAGCTGTCCAGAGTTAAGATTCTTAATGCCTTAATGCTTTCCCCTGATAAGCCATGTGTGCTATAAATGACATAACATGACATCGAGGTGAGAAATGTTGAGGGGAGAGCAGTGGGACTTTCCCCTTTGTTCTCCCTGCTGGGCCCTGAGGGTCAAAATTATATGAGAAATACTATCTCTGTGGTGCTGGGTATCACGGAGGTGAGACATTTTCAGGGGAGGGCAGGGCAGACTTCTCTTAGGTTTTATTGTGGGCTAGATACAGGTGGGGGCAGCCATCATGAGGGTTGAACGTCAGTATTAATGTGTCTGATTACTTCCCTGCTGGATTATAAGGGTCTTAAATTGTATAACATGCTACCCAGATTGGTTATTACCCATGGATTATATTAGCCGTTGTAGTGTGGGTTTTGTAGGAGTTAAGTGGTCTCACGTTTGCTACAGTAGATAACCTATAATATATTACTGCATTTGATCAGCTTCGTCTACTTAAACTCTAAACGCAAACGGTATTACTAACAGTATTTTTATTTAGAAATTTCGGCCACATATTTATATTATCCACGAAACTGTCAATAACTGTATAAGGATCTTCAATTCCTAAGAGTTCAAGTTTTTTAACATATTTTTCCTTTTCCGCGGGCGCGATTCTTTACATACGGTGAACACGTCCAGCGCTGGTGAACACGTCCAGCGCTGGTGAACAGCTGATTGTGTTTACGTCTGATGTACACCACTGTGGCGGCGGGCGTAGGTATCACGTGATTTAGGTCACGTGTTTGCAAGGACTCTATTGGTTCTAACACAGCATACTGATACTAAAGTAGGTCTATAGCCTAGAGTTATCTTTGATATCATCAAGATTAGTAAGTCTTACGGCAGCAGTCTTACATATGTAGTCAAATTCTGTAAATTTACCCTTTAGCCGCCTTACTTAACTTAGTTTAAGGTTATCTCACCCCCCCCCCCCCCCCAAACAACACAAATAGGAGGCCAAACTTTAAAATTTGTAATAACATAAAGTTAAATAATAGCCAAGCCTAAGTAAGTTAGTCTAACTAAATCACCAATGACAAGTTTTATTTTAAGTTTTAACAGTTGTATGGTTTAAGACACTTTAAGACAGGCTTACAATTACAAAGATTTCTAAAAAGGGCCAAATGTTGGAAGTAGAATCTAGATCTAGAATTCAAGATCTAACTTAACTGAACTATGTTTAGCAATTTCAACTGATCATTATATTCACAGTATAATAATAGTGGAATAAGTTACTGGGTTCTGACAGATCAATCAAAACAAACACAACACTAAATTTAGTACACACTCATTTTATCAGTAACAGAACAGAACAGTACAGTGAAAATCAAAATGAAAAATTTATCAGTCTAGCTAGTCGACAATAATAAATAAACTTCCGGAAAGGTAATTAAATATCTGATGATACCATTTAATTTACAATAAAATAATTCATCAGTTTGACAAATTCACTTTAAAAACACACCTAATTCGTAACACCCGATTCTGTGTTACTAAACGATTTTACTAAAGCTGATCTTTATTCTGCGAAATGGCAACCAGCTTTTCAGTCAGTCTTCTGTTGAGTTTTGGGAATATGGACATGCGCATTTCGATACTTCCTTGTTTGAGAAAAACATTAAAAACAATAAAAATCAACACGAACTAATATTCTTTCACCACTTAGGCCTAAAATGCGTGAGTGGGTGGTGGCTTTTTGTACGTAACCGAAAAACATACTTTGTTTGATATCAATCTAGCTAGATCTATAGTAATTCAATAATAGACAAGCAGTCTAAATTACTTGTCCTATATAGGGGATAAGAATGAAAGGGGTGACAATGTTAGGCCTATAAAAAGCTACAAAGACCCTAGATCGAAGGAAAAATATTTTAAATAAAAATAATGTTATTGGCTCTTTAAAACCAGGGAAATTTTGAAAATTGTAACTTTTGGCTCTTTCGCTTCAAAAGGTTGCCGACCCCTGGTCTAGAAGACCAGGATAGTCGCTTCGCCGCAACATTTCCCCAGCCCGATTTCAAAGCGTACCGGCACAGTCAAATTTCAGATGCTTCGTCTTTGAAGTTGTCTATATGTCTGGCGGTCTCTCGAGCTATAGTCTGTGCATTTTTCTCAAAGACGTTTGCCGACTATCGTGTTTGTTTGTAACTGTAGAAGAAAGATAACTCGACCTCCACCTAATTTAAAAAAAAAAAAAATTTTAAATAATTTAGGCAGGATTTTTGGGCCCCCAATTGGTCTGGCCCCCCCCCCCCCCCGCATTGCGGGGTCTGGCGGCACTGTAGTTCCGCCCCTGGATCGAACGAAGTTAGATTAAGACATTTAAGATGACACGTAGCGCACATTACAAAAGAAAAACAACGATGGAAATCATGAACTTCGTTAGGCTCAATGTAAGGGGGGGGGGGGGGAAGCGATGAAACCCGTTTAACACAATGCGACAATCTAATGTGTGTTACGTTTTTCGAATGGAATGACTTTTTGTTAAGATTTGAATGGGGGGGGGGGGTCCGAAAAGCGACTAAAATATCGTGATTCTATTTAGAAGTAGGCATCAAATTAAGTGTCTTTACAATATAACCTAATTTTTATCACGAAGAAGCAGGACTGTTTCACTTTAAAACCAGCTTTACTGCATGAAGCATAGACACGGAGAACCATTATACCAACATATGCATTATTAGAATATTTTTATATTTTATTTCCGCTGGCCCAACACCATTACCAACGGAAAAGTATAGGCCAATGAATAAACCAAAGATATATTTGATGACGAATAAGTGTACAAAAGAAAATGGCGATGTTTTTTTATGAAGCCGACGACCAGCGGCAGCAAGGGCCTGGTCTGGAGTCTCGACCTTGGCAAGAGAAAAACAGACAGGCTAGAACAGGGGTTCCCAACCCTGTGCCCGCGGGCGCCATGGCGCCCGCCAAACGATTCGTATGTGCCCGCCTCTCACTATTCGACAGAGACAGAATTTTTTTCATAAACATCATTGAAAGGTTGAAGGGGATGGAAATTGAAAGTTTGAGGGGGGGGGGGGGGCAAATCGAAAGTTTGAGGGGGGTGCAAATCGAAAGTTTTGTCCCCGGTCGCTACGCCTCTGGAAGGAGTTTTAAATAGGTGGTGCCCGCCACCCTACCGATATTTTAGAATGTGCTCCAGAGTAAAAAAAAAAAGGTTGGGAACCCCTGGGCTAGAAGAACCTCGAGCCGGGACTGTACGAGTCCCCCCCCCCCAAAAAAAAAGAAAGAATTCGAGTGACCCCCCCCCCCCCCCCCCGCTTGCGCGCGAGTTTTTCTCGGAGGGGCGCTAGCATTTTTTTTCCGGCGAGCGCCAACCACATCTATAGACTGATTAAAAGAAAAAGCGAAACCGAAAATAGCACAAACATAAAAAAGGCGCATATATAAAAGGCCTGCTAATACAGTTTATTTAGTCTTACTTCGTGTAGATATCTTTATTATGCTACATTTTGCATGTGGCCAATATTAATTGCTACCGTCTTGGATTAATCGATGAAAAAAAAATCCACGCACACTTTTTGACGTAATTTTCCGTTGCGCTTTTTCTGTTATGCTTTTCGCTGGTCACCACGGTTTCCACTGCCTTAGATGTCCTCTTAAGCTGATTTTAAGTGCAACGGTTGCCGTATCAGCTTCGTTATTCATTTCCATTTTAATTTGTTTTAGTGCCGTGCATTTTGAAGTTGAGGGACAGTCTAGTGACTAGCATTTAAGCAGCGTGTACCTCTTACAAGATGGGAAGGAGTGGTCTAGCGGCAGAGAGCTGGACTGCTAACCCGCAAGTCTCGAGTTTGAATCCGGGTTCAAGTCAGTAGACCGTCCCTGAGTCCACCCAACTCCGATGGGTACCTAATCACGTTGGGGAAAGTAAAGGCGGCTGGGCATAGTGTTGACCACACTATCTCTTCATATGCCGAGGTCACAGAAACAAGTGAACTCTACTTCACTGGCTTTATAGACCGTCAGGTTTGGAAAGGGAACTTTACTTTTACCTCATACAAACCCAATGCAGCTTAGAGAAGAGCAAGCATGATTCCGACAGAATAAATACTGCACGGATCTTAATCGGAGAGTGGATGCCAAGTAACAGTTTTCAGGCGCGAACCAGATACCTTCAGATACCCTCTAGGATTCCTGCTGCGGACCGAGTGACACCATTTATGGGGCTGACACCAAGACAAAAAAAAACCCATCAAAATATGTAGAATAAATATATGCTTTTTTGCGATTTCAATTAATGGTTGATTCAGAGTTTCTTCCAGGCAAGTCTGGAAGAAACACTGGGTTGATTAGAGGTAAAAAGTATTTTAAGTACAAATTGACGATTTCGACAAGGGGGGGGGGGGGTGACAGGGGGGGGGGGGCGCCAAATTGAAAGCTTGTCTCTGGGCGCCGGGACGGGTCGCTACGCCTCTGGTTTGACTTAAATCCACAAAGAAAAGACAAAAGTACTAAAGATTAAAACTGCCAGCACTTGGTGCGTCACAGTAGCTCCCTTAGAGCAGTCCTTTACCTACTTAGGCAGTGTTGTGGACCATCATGGAAGAACAGATGTGGATGTTAAAGCAAGGATAGGTAAGGCAAGAGCAGCCTTAACACAGCTCAAGAACATCTGGACTTCCAGTGAGCAGTCCTTGACCACCAAGGTGTGCCTGTTCAACTCCAACGTAACATCAGTGTTGTTGTTTGGAGAGGAGACTTCTTCTTCTTCTTCGTTCTTAATTATTAGTGTTGAAGGGGATCGAGATTTATCTGCCAGTGGGTTTGAACTCGAGACTTTGTTCGAATTTATCAACCATGAGCTTTTTGCCGACTCGACCACGCTTCCAACACAATTAAGCGTTACGTGTCAACTGGTTATGCGCCATTGAGGCCATTGACTCCGATTTCAGCCTGTTTTCTTTTTGGATTTGCTTCCATAGCCTTTGTCCAACCAAGGCAGCAGTTGTTTAATTTTGGAGTTGTCTCTCCTAGAAGAGTGGCTGTCCCCAGCTAACGAGCCTCATCTGAACTCGAGACTTTTCGGTTTAGCAACCATGAGCTTTACCGACTCGACCACGCCGACCCATACTTGATGGACGATTATTGATAAAGTCAACACATTTATGAAGGCCTGCCTCAGACGTTACTAATGATCCGCCGACATGATACCAGTGGCGTAGGCAAGGGGGGTTATAACCCCTCCCATGGACCCTATATATATATATATAGGATTGTATCCTATAGGATTGTATACATATAGAAAAATGTTTGAACCTCTCCCATGAGCAATTCCTGGCTACGCCACTGCATGATACCATCACCAACGTTCAGCTATGGTAGACAGAGCATACTGCCACTGTATGTAAGCCCTGCTAGGGGGGGATACCTACAATCTACCCTTCTAGGCTTAACTAATCTGTCCGGTCAGTGCAACCGTGGTAGAACCCACAGTGGTTAAACCCTAACCTTAGTCTAAATGATAAGCTACTAAAATTAAAACAAAAAAACTTAAACTTTTAACAATTTAATAAAATTTATTGCATGGAACCAAAAGTTATAAAAAAAGAATAGATAAAACTGACACAAAACAGAACCAAACGAAACAAACTTTTTACATCAAACAAAACACCCAATTTCGGACTACGTCCAGGACTAAGACGAACACAAACACAAAATAAATACGACTGGATGGTGCGAATTTGCTATTCTTTTCACTGGATGACCAGAGAGACTGCCTGCCCTCTTCACCGCGGCTTTCCACACAAAAGACAGAGTTGAACAAGCCGGAAACCGACTTCCCCACACCTCACACCCTACTCGTAAACAAATAGTCCCTAATTCACGGATAACAAACCAAACACGACGAAACATGCAACAGAATATTATAAAAAGACACTTAATATAAACAATGACAACAATATAAAGGAAATATATATAAACTAGCTATAACCAGGGACATAGACAGTGAGACAGCGGCGCCATAATACGGGACTACACAACTAAAAACGACGAACCATTTACGACATGAAACGAAACGATACATTCGCCTTCTAAGTTACAAATAATAAAAATACACTCCAGCCGCTCACATACACGCCCCTTAAAGCTTGCGGTCACCGCAAGCTAACAAACTTGAAAAAAACAGCCCACAGGGCATAATCATAAATGTTACAAAAAAACTTTGCAGGAAGAACTTGCAAAAAAATCAGCCCACCGGGCACAATCATAAATTTTACAAAAAAACAATCTTTGCCAGAAAATCAGCCCACAGGGCATAATCATACATGTTACAAAAAACAAAACTTTGCAAAAGAACTTGCAAAAAAATCAGCCCACAGGGCACGATCATAAATTTTACAAAAAAACATTGTCAAAAAAATCAGCCCACAGGGCACAATCACAAGTCTAGCTTACTAGGGACTCTGCGCTCCCTGACCGACCTACGCAGAGGTATGTCAGGTACTGCGGGGTTACCGGCTGCTCTGGTCCCCGGCAATTGGACCTTATAAATTACGTGGCTGTAGCCTGGAGTAGCCGGCGGTATCACTTTGACCGGCCTTGGGGAGG